GCCTCTCTACCAATGATCTGCCTCTTCTTTCAGAACAAAGGTAGCCAAATATACTCGCTTATTAGTGGGAAGCATCATGACATTAAGAACGTTTCCTACTGTAATTATTTACTCTCTACATCTATAACATCCACTCCCCCTTAAACATAAGTCACTTCAAGCTCTAAAATAACTTCAAATACTTATAAATCTTCCCACTTGTACTAGTACTTGCATTAGTGCTTGCGATTGAATGTGTTGTTAGTGATGCTATTAAAACGTTTGTACTATAGGTTCTACAAAAAATTATAATTTTTGTATCATATGCATCATCATTTTTATCATTTGCATTATATTTCCTCAAGTGCGGCTATAAGATTTAACCCTTTGATACGTTCTCTACTACAATAGTACAACATTCAACTACAAGAATATTCTCAAGTACCTCAATAATAATACTATGTCATGGTGACTAACATGTAGTTCATTCTCATAGTTTTTTCAGCTATACTTCTTCCAACTCATTTTTCTAATCAGTTAAATCATATTAATTATCCTCCTCAATATGCATATTATATTTTATGTATATGTAATATGAGGTTTGCCTCTTCAGTCGCTTAGAAATACTACACCCACCTATGTTATGTAAGAATCCCATCACATTTAATTTCTTCATTAAGGATACTAATTCTATTAAGTATTCATATTTAATCCTTGTAATTCAGATGCTTTAATGCCATTTTTTGTGATGTCCCATGATGGCCTCTATCAATCAAGCTTAAGACATAACAGAGAAATTTGCTACTGAATTGATTCAATCTATCACCAACACCTATTATAGAACTCTATTCTCTAGAATTAAGGGAGTGATAAAGTCAATTACATGAATATCCCAAACATGGAATACAACAAATTTTTCACGCACAACAATCAGATGATTAAGACAATTCAATTAAGCAAAAGTATATCAAAATATTACATTCATTCAACGGTAAAGAAACATCAATATTTATTTGCATGATATCAAACTTTCATTATTTACTTACACAAAACTCTGCATCAAAATAGTTGCTTAAGTATTGTATCCTCACTTAGGATCAACTTTATATTTTTCTCTTATAGAAATAATATTCAAAGCAACATCTATTGAGCTTAAAATCTCAACAAGATGAATAATTCTAAAATAAAATTTAAATGTTAATGAAATTAAACTGATATGACATGTTAATTATAAACTATATGTTAGAAATTAATGTAGAATATTTACTAATATAGTGTATTACTTATAATAATTATAAAGCGGCCTTTCTAAACAACAAATGACATCATAATACATAAGATAATTATATTGAAAAAAAATTAAAAGAGATGTTCGATGTTCATTCATAATAGGCTTGAATCGGGTGGCTAGGTCTGCAATCCTGGGATTCAACCTTCACTAACCTAATTTTTTTATCACAATGACCTCACAACTAACTCAACTTACAAATATTAACATGAAGTTGAAAGAAGCATGTGTATCTGTCCATCCCGGAGGCGAGCAAATAATTTTGAGACTTCACATCAATATTCATAATATTACTATCTCATCAACAAAATTGAGGTCTAGAGTCATCATCCACTGGTTTGTAGATTGATATGTGCTCAATAAACAAAATATGTATATAATCCATAGAGGTTGATATCCAATAAATTCCTACAATCTACAAAGATTTAAAAATATTGGATGCACTCACAGTTTTTTAATGTACAAATCCATTTATTTATCACAGTGGTCTGCCATCGCAAACTTCCTAGTAATAACATCAAACAAGACCACTAAGAAGTCCCTAATGGACGATGGCCAACTATAAGATGTAAATTCATCTACATGACGTGCTACACTAATGACCATGACTTGGATTTTGTAGTTATGCAGTTGAAATAATAAGTTGGACAACAAGAATATGAAAAATTTCATCACAAGATGGCCAGGTGGAGTTGATTAATTGAGAGACAGCCTGTCATGTTTAATATTAGTTGTAGATTTTCTAGTAATCCTTACACTTCCCAGTTCGAATTCACCTCCCATATTTAGTAGTCCTATAATAAGAACGACTTCATCTACAATGAAGCGTAGCTTATGCCCCTTAATGATGAAGCATTGCCTCCGGATATCCCATAATGACAACATGTATACCAAGGGAACATTCAGACATAAATAATGAATGAACATAAATTGATTTACTTGCAGTTCGTTCAATCTGTCCATAAAATCTTGGCTAAAGTTATCATCCAAAAAATTACAAACATTCATAAAAGTAAATGTTTTGCAATGAAAGTCGATCTTTGAAACATATCCATGTAGAATTGTGTGCATTGGTTAAGAAAAATTCACTATAGAAGTGAAATGAATAGCAACGATACACAACAATACAAAGCACAACAATATATAAAATGAACAAAAACCATTGAATTTTTTTTTTAATGAAGTTGATCATGTGAATGGAGAACAAATCAAAGGAATACACAATAGTACACAACAACGGTATACAATAGTACACAAAAATGATACACAACACTACACATCAATGATACACAAAAATAACAATTATAGAAAATGAACAAAAAACATAACTAAAAATGTTCTTATTAATTGAATCATGCAAATGGAAAACATAACACAGTGGTACACAACTGAAAATAATATAGGAAATGAAAAAAAAAAAAGAAAAACCACTAAAAATTTTCTATGAAGTTGATCATGCGAATGGAGAACAAATCAAATGAGCACACAATAATGATACACAACAATACACAACGATGGCACACAACACTACACGACAACACTACACATCAGTAATAAGTGTATAAAATGAACAAAACGATAATTGAAAATGTTCTTATTAACTCGATCATGTAAATGGAAAATAGAACATAATGATGCATAACAGTATATAATAGTGGTAAACAACATAAAATTGATATATAAAATGAACAAAAAATTCTGAAAATTTTCTATGAAGTTGATCACATGAATGGAGAACAAATCACAGGAGTACACAACGGCGGTACATAGCGGTAAACAACAGCAGTACATAACACTACATATCAACGGTACACAAGATTAACAATATAGAAAATAAACAAAGATATAACTGAAAAGGTTCTATTAACTGGATAATACAAATGGAAAATATTTTACACGGACACAACATTAACAAATATAGAAAACACAACATTAACAAATATAGAAAATGAATAAAAATATCACTGAAAATGTTATATTAACTTGATCATGCGAATGAAAAATAAATCATAGAAGTACACAACAATACACAACCGTGGTGCACAAAAACTATACACAGGAGTACATAGTATACAAAACATATTTCCCACATCGATTTTGTAATACACATATGTGAGACAACTGAGAAATCACATTTTTACAGCAACACGTAAATGTTCTAAACCCTAAACCCTAATAGCTATATTTACAGACAAATAGAAGCAACATGTCCACTGATAAAGTATAACGTCTTTACTATGGACATAAGTCTGACTTTAGCCGTGGCTTTCGGGAAAAAAATATCTTGCAAAAAAGGTCGAAGGCTTCAGTCGAAATTTTCTTCGAAAATGAAGAGCGTCTGGAAACAACGGACCGAGGGAAATTGAAATACCTTGATTTTAAAATTTTCACTGAAATGCCACGATTTTAAATTTCTCATAAGGTTGGGTCGTTAGGTTATCGGGTCATCACGTGTTAGTGTTGTACTGGACTCCGGACGTTGAGCTATATCTGGAGACTACATAGAATAATTTATCTGTAACTTGACACAAACATTGATTTCAAAGTCTTCAAAACCTACCTCAAAAGTGATGATTTTGTTTTCACACTCAAAATGAGTAAAAATCAAACCTTCCAAAATAACAAAAACTACAACAAGAGTAAATGGAGAAGATGAAAGTAAGGCTTTGGTTGTTCATCAAGGCTTTCACGGATTCAACAAGGGAAGGAAACGAGGTCAACGACAACAACAAAAAAATGGATAGGACGAAAATAAAACTTAGAAATATAGAGAATAATGACTAAAATAAAAGGGAGAGGGGTTTGATGTGAGTACCTGCTCGAGTAAGGAAGAAGCAAGGGGAGGCCGAGGAGGCGTTGAGTTCACACGAGATGTCAATGGACATAAATTAGGCTTGGTTGGGATGTTCGCACGGGATGGAGAACGAGAGTGGCGTGGGGTTCAAAAGCAAAAGGCAACTGCTCGAGCTAAGAAGAAGAGAGGGGTTTCAGATGGGATGTTCACACGGGATGGAGAAGGAGAGCAATGTGGGGTTCAAATGCGAAAGATAACACCTCGAGCTAAGAAGAGGAGAGGGGTTTCACGCGTGAAAGGAAGGGTAAGCGTAGGATTACGATGGGAGTTAACATAGTGCTATTTTAGATGAAGTGAATAGTATTTATGTTGCAGTTTTATAAATATCATAGTGTTATATAAATAAATATAATAGTTTTAGGTATTATATATATATATATATATATATATATTTGTAGAGACACAATAAAATTTCTTAATTATAATTATTATTTTGTGCGTGAAAGGAAGGGTAGGCGTAGGATTACGATGGGAGTTAACATAGTGCTATTTTAGATGAAGTGAATAGTATTTATATTGTAGTTTTGTAAATAGCATAGTGTTATATAAATAAATATAATAGTTTTATGTATTATATATATATAACAAATTGTATTACTATGATCAAGACATGATACATAAACAAATTTGGGCCAGCAGCTTGAAGTTAAAAAAAAAGAAGTAATGGTATATTGTATCCATGGGTAAAACAAATACTGTTCCAAATAAAAAAAAAAACATTTATTTATTGCCAGTGAATAAATATATGTAATATGTTATTAGTTAACATTAGTTAATAAATATTTGAACGCAGGACAAGAAGTTATAGAGCAGTCTTCCAAATATCTTGCACTGGGTCTTCTATCGTGTTAAAATACAAATCTGGAAATTAAAACACAAATTGCCGGCCATACAGAGCATGAATCTATAAATTCTACGACACATAAAGCCATAAGCTTAAACATAACTCTCCATGGGTTTTATTGCCAAGTCAGAAGAGTGATTTGATCCAGGACTCGGGAAAAAATGACATCCTTTTCTTGCTGCAACTTCCTCTGATGGCATCGGATCCCGCCCAGGGCCGAGGCTTCGCCGCTTGCTCGGCTGTCGCTGACCGTTTCCACTTCTCTTGTACGCTTCACATCCGCTCGATAAGTAAGCGCCACACCCACCCAACTTCCTCTTCTTCCTCCTCCCTCGGCTATTCCGAGAGCTAGGGTTTCAACCGCAACTTCCGGCGCCCGGTAGGTGTCCTGATCTGGGTGCCGAGATGTTGGGGTTCGTAAAGCTAGGGTTTTGGACTCGTTTCTACTGTTTCGGGGATAAGCTGGTCGTCTTTTAGTTTGTATGGGAAGGATGTTCTGAAGAAATAAGTAATAAAAATATATATTTTTAATGTGAATTTCAGGCATTGCTGTTCTTTTCTGCTAGCCTTGGAAATGGGCGATTCAGTGAATGTGGTGCTAGAGTTCCTTAGGAAGAACCGTTTCAGCAAGGCTGAAGCTGCCTTGCGTGGCGAGATCAGTAGCCGGCCTGATTTGAATGGTTTCTTGCAGAAAAACTACTCTGAGGAAGAGGAGATGCGAGTGGAAAGTAAATATTCTGCTTTGAAACAGGGCGAAGTATCCCAGGAGTTCATCGTTAAGGAGATCGAGGTTGGAAATGGGAGTCATGGGACTAAGGGTAAGAATGGTCTTCAAAAGAACCAGGGCCATCAGGTCAGTGAGAGCAGCATGGCTGATCTATACCCTTGGAATTTCACTGACATTGACAGTAATGCCAACTCTGTTTCTAATGATAATGCTGTGCTAACTAACAACTTTTCTGATCTCTTAATATCCGAAGAAAAGAGGTTTGGAAAAGCCTCATGGGTGGGGAGTAGAAAGAATTCAGTTATTGAAACTAAACTGGATTTGACGGGGAAGCAGAGTACCTCCTATGGTGCTGGAAGTGTTGAATTAAAGCCTGGAATCAACCAAGCAAGTGACTCCAAAGGCTGCTGTTCTTACCCAAAAGACTATTTGCTTGAGAATCCATGGTCCACATCTGAGGAGGCAACAAAAGAGTGCTCAGTGAAAACTGTCCTTCCATTTTCTTATGATAATCAGTATTCTAGTTATGACTGTACTCCTGGTGATGCTGATGATAGAAAGGATAGAAAGAAGAAACCTAGCCATCGAGATTGTAGGGAAGGTTTGAAGGAGCAACTAGTTGATATAATCAGGCCTTATACTTCTGAAGTATCCCTTAATGACCATGTCCTTGATATACCACCTGTAGGTGATAATCACAGGGAGGAACTGCCAAGATTGCCTCCTGTAAGACTTAAGTCTGACGACAAGTTAACAAATCTTAGTTGGGAAGAGAAGGCTGACCCTCATGGTTTTGGAGGGATGCATACAAGAGCGATGCTCAATAGTGCAGACAATACCTTTATGATTGGGTCATTTTTAGATGTCCCTGTTGGGCAAGAGATAAATGCATCAGGTATGGTTTCGATATATTCATGAATTTTTTTAGTATGATCTATGTGTACTTTCAAATATTCTTTGCACACCCAAAGATTTATTTGAACATCAAAACCTTTGCAATAAACATCATGTATTAGAATAATTCTTATTCCCTTTGGTTTGCCTTCCATATTACATTTACTTGTATGATGACATTAGATCGAGGTTATGAACTTCTATTACTAATATTGTAATTCCTTTATGTCCTGCACATCTAAAATAAAAATTCATTTGTTTTCAATTAAAATTGATATAATTCTAGTCCATCCTTTTTCAGCTTTCATTTTAATAAGATTTGTTTTCTTTATTTGACATTTGGGCTATACATTAGGATTAGAAGTCCATATTTAATGGTTGCAGAAGGATGCAGTTGATCATTTTTGTTAAATAAAGTTTTTCCAGCTATTAGAATCGCACATGAGGCTTCTTTTGTTATCAAAACTATTTTTAATAAATTGTAAACATAAACTTGGAAGACTTTTTTTCACAGAGCGAACAAGAGAAGATGATGGTTTCTTTTAAAACAGAATCCTCTAGGAAAAGCCATCTTATGCCTAATTGTGATAATCATGATTCTGGCTGAGGGCCTATTATGATAAGCAATGACAATTCATAGTACAAGTCCATAGTGTAGGAACTAAAATATATTTGTCATTGTTCTGCTTAGCTTTGAATCTATAGAGACCGATTAGATCAGGTCTTGGTGGATATGCAAGTGTTGATTCCTTTTTTCTCATGAACTATTAGTATGAAAATTTAATTAATCAGTTCTATTAGATGTAATCCACTATGAGTTTCCTTTACCAGTGATTTGTGGTTTAATTTAGGCATCATAATAGTGACCAGCATTTTGTGGTTTTGGCTTAGGCTTTTCCATTTCTCAAGGCTTGAGACCAGCAATATTGAATGTAGTTGATTCACATTTTAAGAAAATAATATTGCTTTTGTTTCTTCATAATCTTTCAGGGTTCGGCTGGTTATTGCTCCTAGGTGATGGCATTGATGCTAACATACGGATGATTAACTATCACACAGTTAGAATCATTGTTATGAGAAATTTGGAAATTATGGACTTGTTAGGAGCTCCATGCATAGTAAAAGTCCAGGAATGCTTAGATTGGAGTTTCATATTTCTTTGTGGAGTTAAATATTGACTAATAGATTAGTAGAAAATCTGATGATAGACTTAGTATACAAAACCACAAACTCTATTTGATGTGTACTTCATAATGTTTATGGAATGCTTGGTTGAAGTCTTGAGTGAATGATGACCTCCTGATGGTATAAGTTGTTCATTGGGCAGATCTTATTGATTTTTATTACATTATTTAATTTCTTGATGTCAGCATCTTGATGACTCATTAAGTGCTCCTTTTCTTTCAATTAATGTTGGAAGAGAGAATTATTGGTCATGCATTTCACCTAGCACTTGTTAGACTCCATATATTAAAACAAACCTGTCTGATTTTCTCCATGGATTATTTCCATGATATATATCTTGTTAAACTCATGCAATATATAAATAACACACACACAAAGTGGTGATTTCCCTTTAATTGCCTTGAGAAAGTTGACTTATTGTATATCACCTTTTGTCGGTAAAATTATGCACTTCAGCTTGTTGTTTCCTTCTTCTACTAGTGATATGTACCATGATGCACAAACACTTCTTTTTAAGGAGGCATGCAGTGCTCGATACATGTCGGACATGACAAAGATGTTTCCAATTAAAATAATATTAAAAAACAGACAAGAGTATGCTAAATATTTAATGAAAAACTATTTTAAATATAATTTCTTATATTATCGTTTTTTATTTATTAAAAAAATAAAGAAATAAATTTCTTATTTTCTCTACACAAACTCAAATCAATCACCTGCGCTCAATACTTTGTCCTCTAAACATTCCCGTTTAATTTATCTCCGCGGAACACGACTTGGGTTTCATATTGACACCGAGGGCATCTCAACATCAATGTTCAATGCAGTCTTAACATCGATGTTTGAAACTATCTCGATATCGATGTTTGAAACTATCTCGATATCGATGTTTGATGCCATCTTAACATTGATGTTTGACGCCGACAATTTTTATACCTACAATCATGGTCCTTCGTCATCTCGATATGTTATCTTTGTATAAAGGTGTCACAATATCGACGGTCGATGTTGCCTCAACATCATGCCTGATGGCCAATGCACAACATCGACGACCGACATTTAGTAGCATTGTCTTCTTCCCTCTCGATTCCCGACTCTCAACAATGCTGTTGTCTCCCCTCTCGATGCCCAATAGGTGACATCAATGCTTGACTTCCGACATTCTAATCTTAGTTATTTTAAGTATAAATCATAATTAAATGACTTAAGCATTTTATTTTTATTCTTAATATCTGCTTATTTGATTTTTATGCGCTATTAAGATATAAAAATTATAATACTATGTCAAACCTGAATTCCTGTCCTATATTTTCAATATTTGAAGGATCTTGTGTCCATGTCATGATATGTTTGTGTTGTTGTGCATGTATTTGTGAATCCTAGGATATGCACAACCGACAAGTGTTATGCAATATTCTTCAGGTTTCTCATGATCAATCTCATCATTCAAGTAGAACGTTACAGTCAAACTGATACTCATAGTTTTATTTGACTTGTTTTGAAGTAATTTCTAAGGGAACCGAGGCTTGTGTTGGAAGGAGACTTGGTTTTATGCTGCTGTATTTATTCATTTATTTATTCAACTGGTGATATAGAAAAGCACTTGAATGTTATATTCTATTGGCCATGCATCTCACATTCAATATCATCATTAAAGTAGAATGTAATTGTCATAGTGTTAACCACAGTTTTATCTTTGATGCTTTAAAGTCATCTCCAAGGGGATTCATGACTTGTGTTGGAAGTAGTGTATTAGTTATTATGCTGTTATGAATTACTTTATTAAGGGGAAAGCCATGCATGAAGCAGGTTGAAGTGCTATTTGTGGTAATATGTGCAGTTTTTGCAGGTCTAGAAATTCTCTCAAGCTCATAATTTTTATGATTTCAATTATTAGATTCTTATTGTTTGAGTTTCTTCCAGACTTTAGTAGATCATTACTCGTATGCTTGCTAGTTTGAATGTGATTGTTCATACTATTTAAAAAAAAAACATGTAAAACTTGATTCAAGCCACACGCTTATTTGAGGATTTATTATTTCATTCCGTTCTGCTCTATGTTGTCCATTCGATGAGTATGCTGATTCCTATTTTTTACGTCAAATGTAATTTAAAATTGTGATGGAAGATTCTAGAAGTAAATGTTTGTGTGTCCATCTTAAAGTTCAATAAAGAGCTTATAAGAACCTTGTTTGCAGGGATCATAGTAGATGCAAGTGTTTTAAAGACTTTCTGTTAACAGTATCCGTTAATACTCATGAAATGAACTTTTATATTTATGGACAACTTTCAGGTTTACTTTTCCAATGGAAAATACAGTTTTATGAGAAGTATACTCATGACATTTCCCTATGGACAACATTCTGATATACTCTGTTGTTTTCAACATGCTGATCTAATGTATTCAAGGTCTCTTTTAGTGGTTTTGCATCAATTATATATTGCTGCATATTTAAAATCTACTTAATGCAAGTCTTTACTTATAACATCTAGCCAAGTAACCTTTGGTCAAACATTTTTATTTTTTTCGTAATTCTATCCACCTACTTTATTGACGTGTCTTCAACACTTCATTTTACATTCCTAAAACCACCGCATTCTATTTTCTACAGCCTCATATTTATATGATACTTTTCTTTAATCCCTCTAATGTATTAATTTTAATCTGTCGCGTTTTCAAATTTCTCATGTCCATCATAATATTTTCTTTTTACGGCAGTTATAACTTTCATTAGAAAATATTAGAAATGACATTTCTTTATTAGATTTAAATGAGATTTAACTTTTAACAATACACAATATAAAAAAAAGATTCATGTAGCCGATCCTACATAATGGGATAAAGGCTTGATGTTATTGTTGTTGTATAACTTTAATTACTTGTTCCATCCATATAGAAAATTGGTCTTATTAGTGTTGTTTGAAACTTAATTCGTAGTCTTTTAGATACTGCACTGTGATATTCTCTTATTGTATATATTGCCATGCCTCAACTTTGACAAGTAATATCCAATCCCCACACTTTCGCACTTTTTATCATTATATCCACTAATTCTCTAGTCCAAAATTTCTTATCCTGTTAAGATAACATAATCATCTTAACTTTTGGATTAATTTCCTTGTTATGTTTACTCAGTTTTTGAAGGTTTGTGAATGTTTTTTTACTGACCTAATTAGTTGCCATTAAATTTTTTGTTTCTCATTAACCATATTAGATTGAGGCTTGGCTATCCCTGAGTCCACTCTTGAGCATAGTTTTGTTAGGGTATGGTGCATTGCTTTCGGTTGACATTTAGCCAATCCATTCCTGCTTTTGTCTGAAACAGATTTAGATTGTAACCGTGCGGCAAATCACTTCTTGGCGATATGCTAGCGAACCCACTTACATAATTTGTTTAGTCATGGCATGTTGCTTCTAGAAAAGACCTAGAAATTAACATATATAAAATTAGATATGCATGCATTTTGGTATACGTTTTTGTTTGTTGTCAACCTAATCAATGCTATACCTTTGTTATTGGACTTGGAACATGCAATGAAATTTTACTTTATGAGTATATTTTTGCTATATAAATTCTCTATATTTTTCCTATGCATCAAGGGAACTTTTAATGTTATATGTAATATAAGATCAAGAGTCCAGAGTATTATTCATCAACCATGCCACATATTCAAATTTTAATTGGTTATGTTGCTCCTAAAACACTAGGCCAATTCAGGATGCGGCTGCATTATATATTGGATTCACATACATAGAACATCTGTTACTCTGTTTGCAGGCATCCTACATGGTGATAGTATTACTGCAAGAGATTTGGATCTTTAATCATGCTTGGAGTTTTTTGTAGAAATGAAAGGACAAAGAAACTTCATTTCTGAATTTTTTTCATAGGCAATAATTTAGTTCAACTGTTCAAGTAACAATTTTTGCTCAGATTTGCAGCTCTTAGTTTCCTGCACATACTGCTACAGAACTTGTGTACAAATAGCGCTGGGGGAAAATACTTCTTATAAGTTGATATTAGTTTTTAATGCACCCAAATTTCTTACTGTATTGTCCTATGCAATCAGGTGGAAAGCGAACTAGTGGAGCCAGTTGGCTTTCGGTAAGTCAAGGAATTGCTGAAGATACTTCTGATTTGGTTTCTGGTTTTGCTACTGTTGGGGACGACTCCATGGATTATCCGAATGAGTACTGGGATTCTGACGAGTATGAAGATGATGACGATGTTGGATATATGAGACAGCCTATTGAAGATGAAACATGGTTCTTGGCACATGAGATTGATTATCCAAGTGACAATGAGAAAGGAACTGGGCATGGGAGTGTTCCTGATCACCAGGACCGGGTCCCAAGGAAGGATGAAGATGATGATCAATCTTTTGCGGAAGAGGATTCTTACTTGTCTGGTGAGCAATATTTCCGTGGGAAGAATGTTGAGCAAGTTGCTTGTCCCGATAGACCCTTGGGTCTTGCATTGTCTGAAATATATAGAAAATCAGATGATGATAATAATTTGATAACTCAGTATGATGGAGAGTTGATGGATGTTGAAGAGTTAAATTTAATGCGGGCAGAACCAGTTTGGCAGGGCTTTGTTAGCCAGGGCAATGAACTCATTATGCTAGAAAATGGGAAAGCCTTTAATGAACAAGAACTATCCCGGCCTGGTGATCTCATAATAGATGATGAACCCCAGACTTCTGTTAGGTCAATTGGGGTGGGCATAAACAGTGAAGTTGCTGATATGGGCAGCGAAGTTCGGGAAAGTTTAGTTGGGGGAAGTAGTGAAGGTGATCTCGAGTACTTTCATGATCTTGATACTGGTATAAGTGCTTCCGGGCACTCTAAATGTAATACCGGTACAAGCTTATTTCTTCAATCGAAGATGGACACATCTAAGAAAACTAAACCCAATTCTAATAAATACATTTTAGCTTCTGACAATGCAAAGGAAGCCCATTTTGTTGATGTTGGCTTTACTTTTCCGCACCCAGTAAAAAAAGGGGATAATACTTTGGAGGCCAATTCAGGTAAATCATTATGGTCAAGCAAGGGTGATATTGCTGTTGACGATGTCAATGAAGAATATGGAAAGGGCATTGTTGCAGGGGATATGCTTGCCACATGGAGACGGAAAAGCAGTGATTCTTCTCCTGTAAGGAGCTCTAGAGATGAGAAATATTCTGATACTGCCAGATCCAGAAATTCAAGTGGTTCATCAGCCTCAAACTATGCCTATGACGAAAGAGAGGCATTTAGGAATGTAGGCGAGGGCAAAGCAAAGAATGCCAGGGAAGAGGAACCGGGAATAACACTAGAAGATGAAGAATCAGCTGCATTGCAGGAGCAAGTAAGGCAGATAAAATCCCAGGAAGAGGAATTTGAAACCTTCAATCTCAAGATTGTGCACAGAAAGAACAGGCATGCAAGCTTCATGTTGTTATTTTTCACTGTCTTATTTGCTAAATCTGACTGGTAACTTGCATCTTGCAAGAAAACAATGATTTATATGACTAATTTTTTAGCCTTTTATTTTCTTTGTGCGAAGTGTTATTTTATTGCTTCTGCTGCATGAATTCTTTTTGAACTTATTTTCCACGTGTCCACTGTGTGCAGGACTGGCTTTGAAGAAGACAAAAATTTTCATGTTGTTCTGAATTCAGTAATTGCTGGGCGTTATCATGTCACAGAATATCTTGGTTCAGCTGCATTCAGCAAAGCAATCCAGGCACATGACCTGCACACTGGTATCGATGTATGCGTGAAGATTATAAAGAATAACAAAGATTTTTTTGACCAGAGCCTTGATGAAATTAAGCTTCTTAAATTTGTTAACAAGCATGATCCTGCTGACAAATACCATATTTTGCGCCTGTATGATTACTTCTACTATCGAGTAAGAAAAGTTTTCATAATTCTTCTTATTGGTAAACTTCATCACTTGCTCAGTTAATTTTCTCATTTTCTCTTGTCACCATTATATTGGATATAACTTTGTCTAAAATGCATTCATTATCGTCATCAACATGGACCTTATTCCATCTTTTTTTGGGGCCCACTTTATGAATCTTATTTTCTAACTGTTATGTTTATTTATTGCTGCTTGTTTATTCTATTTTACTCAAGTTTTTGTGCACTACATTTGGCTATGTCGAGGTATATTACGTTAATCCGTTAGTCCAACTCCCTCTTTTTTTCTTATCCCGCCTTCCATCCAAGTCAAAGCCCCAAGTCTTCCCGCGGTCTAAGTAAAGGGCTACCCCCTTGCCTAAACACATTTTATTCATTTATTGATGTTGGCAAGGGAGGGGTCAAAATAAGTTGGGATATAAATTTTGTGAGTTTTTTTATCTCTACTAAAAATCAGCTCATTAATGAGCCTCTTCTTCTTTTTCAGCTCATTAATATCTAGTAGAGAGCCTTTTAAGCTCATAAATTGAAGATTAATCCCCTCCTCCTTGTGGCTCTTAGGTTTCTTCCCTTGCCTTTATTTATGACTTTTTGGTTTCTTCTTATGTCTCTTTGATTTCCCCACTAGTACCTCTTGTCCTCCCTTTTGTCTTTTCATTTTCCTGTGCTGGGAAGCATTCCCGTGCCTTGGCTCTTGGATTTTTGTGACTAGCTGTTGGTTTCCTGTGCTGGGAAGGAAATCCCGTGCCTTTGCCCCCTTGGTTCCGTGAATGGCTGTTCGGTTTTGGGTTCCCTGCTTGGTTCCTGTGCTGAGCTGCTCGGTTTCTCCGTTCCCTGCTTGATTCCTGTGAATTTCCATTCTCTGTTTGCCGTGCCATTTGGGAACTAGTGTTTTGTGGCTGTTGGCCTTCCATTTGCTGCAGTTTTTAGGCTGTTTCTGGACAATTTTTGGACTGTTTTTGGGGACTGATTTGGTGGCTGTTTGGGGGGGAATTCCAAGAGTTTTTCCCTGTTTTATGTGCAGTTTTTCTACTGCAGTTTTTGTGGGATTTTGTGCTGTTTTAGTGGCTGTTTGTATTCCTTCTCATGCCTATATATTAGAGATGTTTTATGTTAAAAGGAGTAGTGATGATGTGAGTTATTTTTGGAGCCTAAACCTGCGGGTTTCTTCGTGGAAAAGCTTGCGAGCTTGTTCCATTCTCCTTCTCCTCTAGGAAAGCTTGCGAGCTTCTCCTCTTTCTTCTCGGGCTTCTAACCTCTTTTATCTCCCCGCAAGTTTCATTCCACCAGTATCATTCTTCTCAAGGCAAAGCAAGTTTAGGTGTTTAAGGTGTCTTTATTTTCTAGGTTTGTAAGTGTTGTTTGTAAGAGTCATGAAATGTAAGAGTTTTCTCTAAAATTATAAAAAGTGTCTTTGTTTCGTTGTTTGTATCTTTTGAGAATTTGGTGTATTTCTTTAGCATTTTATGTATTTCTTTTATATAGGAAGTCTTTGTTTTTGTGATAAAAAATTTGGGTCCCTTCCCAAATTTTTAATTGCATCATTTATTCTACGGTCACATCGAAGCTATGGTTAAGTTGCATATGCTTGTTTATGTGGCTATAATTTTTGTAGGCATCAATTTGAACCTTTGGTTCACGGTTCACTTACCACCCATGAACGGAGGTGCATGTTAGGGTAGTTGTAGCCTGTGTGCAAACCCATTCTAAAACTTTGGATAGGTTGCATTTTTAATGTAGTGGACATTGTTGTCTTCATCTTTTGTTCTACTTCTACTGTTTGTGCATTGCAAATACGAGTTGATTAAGGTTGGCCTGGATTTGTTTGGGTGGTGCACCTAGATGCACTGTCCTTGTTCTAAATGTACGAGGAGGGAACCCATATTTTTGGTGTCTGTTAAATGCAAGTATTCTCTGAGGATGTATTGTGAGTATTGAATGTGTACGTTTGCATGCTACTTTGCAAAAATACATGGTTATTTGGGAGGAGCTGGGCGGATTTTCTCTCTATGAATAGCAAGTACTATTTTCTCAGCACGACATGCAAAATACTTGTATTGGCGTTTCTAGTTTTGTATTCTTTTCTTGCTGAATGAGAATTTGGTCAGTCAGCTTTTTCTTACTTTTTTTTTATGTGCCCCATGCATTAGTCACTTGGTTCTTTTCTGCGAAACAGTCGAACAGGCCTTATACATGTGTCCATTCTATGTTTTTTGGTGTGGACTTTGCAGACTTGAAATACCTTGGAGACTGTCCTGCAAAACAGAGTGTGACCTATTGATTCTCTAACTTTTTACCATCCGACCTGAGTAACCTTCTCCTTTTTAATTGCAACCTTCCTAAGTATGATATTCTACATGCATGCTAGTATATTGTTATTTTGCTCGATGTTCTTTTTGATGTTAATAGTAGCCTTTCTCTGTTTCTCTCCATCGCAGACTTGATTTTGTGTCTGCCAGCCATTTATTATGCTTTACTGCTTGTGTTTTCACATGTTTATGTAATTTGATATTTGTAAGACCACATGCATAAAGAAAGCATCCCAGGATTTTCCCTGAATACCATGTGGTTACATTTTACTTTCTGCTAATGCACTGCCTCGTCTTTTGGCTTTTGAGAAGGTGCGATTTATCAGTTTATAATTTAGATTTTTTTTTAACCATAGTAAAAATTTGTTGTCTACGAGTGCTCTAAAATAAATAAAATTTTGGTGCTTGAATTCATTGGTGTTTCTTCCTTTTTTACTCTGGTTTTTTCTTACTGATTTTTAAATGATTGGCAAGTGATTTTATATTATGCAGGAGCATTTGCTGATTGTTTGTGAACTTCTTAAGGCAAACTTGTATGAATTTCATAAATTCAACAGAGAATCTGGTGGGGAGGTTTACTTTACCATGCCAAGGCTGCAGGTTTTAAAGCACATTGAGTTTTACAATAGTGCAAATCAAGTAATCTTTTGTTAAACCAAATGCTAATGTATGATTGTAATCTCTGGCTGCAGTCAATTACTATTCAGTGTTTGGAGGCACTTCAGTTTTTGCATGGTCTTGGCCTCATTCATTGTGATCTGAAGCCCGAGAACATTTTGGTAAAAAGCTATAGTAGGTGTGAGGTAAAAGTTATTGATCTTGGTAGCAGTTGCTTTGAAACAGATCATCTTTGTTCGTATGTACAATCACGCTCTTATCGTGCACCTGAGGTTATTTTGGGGCTACCTTATGACAAAAAGATTGATATATGGTCACTTGGATGCATCTTAGCCGAACTTTGCACCGGCAATGTAAGGATTCTACCTCCAATTTACTTCTCATTTGTTTTTCACATGAATTAGATATTGATTTTTTTGATATTGCAAAGTTAGTTTATATTCAGGAACTATCGTTTGCTTTTTGGAATCACTTAAACATTTTTTGAAATATTGGAATAATGTTGCTTTGCTGTATTTTTCTTAACTGTTATGTGCCCCTAATTATTAGGGTGCCCAATATTAGTTCCATGAAGAGTAAAGTACCTGTATGAGTATTCTGTGCAAACAAGTTTTTTTGGAGAATTATAATATTTTTTACCCTTTCGAAAAAGTTGGATAATCATTTTCTTATAACTACCACATGTTAATAGATCTAGTTATAAAAAAGTTGTTTCTAGCTGCAAAAATTTCTAAAAAGTACCAAAAAAGTTGTAGGCAAATAGAATTGTGGCAGTTGTTTAAAAAAGCAAACTTGTGAAAAACTTGTAGTGTGTCCCAACCCAGTCCCAACCCAAGGGAGGGGGGACTAATTGGCTTGTCTTTAAAATTTTTTAAAATGAAAATGAACTAACAATTGTGAAATCAGCTAACCAACAATTTAAAATTGATGTATTTTATCATTTTAAGAAAAATATTAGGATGCAATTCAATACAGTATGTGAGCAAATACCACTTATCAAGTTCAAGTTTAATTTCTAACATTCATCACATCACAAGATATCATGAGAGCATAGATAAACATCATCATGACAAATCACGTAAGTAGCACAAAATAATACCGTAGAATAAAAAGATGCAAACCATATTTATAGTGGTTCTACTTATCTGCCTACATCCACTCCTAAAGTTCTTCACTTGGGAATTACACTGCTCTCTCCTTTTGCTCTACACAAGATGGAGAAACCTCTCTCCTCCATGGGATAATGGAGAAAGCTCTAATAGGGGTGTGAAAATCAGGTTACGGGCTGAGTTCGGGTCAAACCCAACACTGACCCGCCACTGTTTGACACGGCCCGAACCCGACTTATTTTTTAAAATGGGTCGATTTTTCCAACCCGAGCCCGACCCGTCAGGTTTCCATGTTGACTCAACCCGACACGGAATTTGACTGCAAGAGTCTAGACGTGAGCAACTAAGCAGGTTAACCGAACCGCGTGCGGTCTTCCGTTGCTCAATGACGACTCGGGCAAAGCTGGAGGAGCTAGTGGGACGGCGGGGAGAGCCGGCGAGGCGGTTGGAGACTCGGAGGGACGACGGTCGATGGGGAGAGCCTAGCCTATAGGGTTTAGCCTAGGAATAAACATCGTCAGAGACTCAGAGGGAAGGCGGGGCCGCGGGATGGCGGGAGAGGCGGACGACGAGGCCCTTTAGGCCTGGTTGATTTGTGAGTCGCGAGTGCAGCGTGCAGGTTGGAATTGTTTCGGGTAGGTCCGGGTCAAGCTCTGGTTTTCGAGTAAACTCGAACCCGATCCTTTTTTTGAAACAGGGTGATTTTCTGAACCCGAACCAACTCGTTTGACAAATGGGTTGACCTCGGGTCAGATTTTCGTGTCGTGCCAAATATTGACACCCCTAAGCTCTACACCTCTTTTTCTCCTTAAAAAGCATGGTTACCCTAACCTGTTGGCTAGACTCCACTTTTCATGTAAAAAAATCAACAAGATCAATAAATAAAGCAAAGCTTAATAAGCTCTTAAATCAAATCTTAGACTCTAAAATATGAGTATTAAGGATATGATTTGGAGGAAGAAACTAATGGTGCAAACTCACACAAGAACTTATCTTTTAATGGTGGAAAATATCAGAAAAAAGAGTAGTGACTAGAAGAACTATTTTCTCCGCCAAATCTCTCAGCTTGTAGCAGCCTCTATTATCAAAAATCTCATTTTAAGTTTTTAGAAAAAAAAATATTTTTAAGGTAGTTTGATTCTAATCCCCAATTGAACACTTATTAAAAATTTTAGTTAGATCGTACAATCTACTCTAAGAATTGTAGAATACGATTAGTACATTTGGCCAATTTCCAAGAAAATCATTTCTTTTTATCGGATTATACGATATGGATTGTACAATATGATTCATTAATTTATGTGATTTCCTGGAAATATCATCTTTATTTGATCGGCATGTACGATAGATATCGTACAATACGATATTGCCTTATGATTTGATATTTTATTTGCTCTTGGATTTGCGGCTTCAAATTAGACAAATTGCTTACATAATCATATAATATGATGTATACTGATGCGGGCAAAAAGAAATGTCAAATAGGAGAACATTAGGACAAATGAAAAACAAACTCGATTCAATCTAGATTGCAAACATCCAAACAAACATCAAAACAAATGAAAAAGTAAAACAAACGAATCAAAATTATAAAATAAAAATACTATCCTCGGAACAACCGGCAAGCGGTTCCCTCACATGCAACGAGAAGTAGATAAAATATGATAAAGTGCTTAGGCTTGCAAACCAAAGGTCCACCACAGCAAAAAGTTCCAACATCCAACCAAACTCCTCCGGCAAATGTCTCCAAAATCAGCCAACAAACGTCTCCCAATAGCTCAAGAAGAAGGATACGGTGGAACTTGCGTAGAGAAGAAGAGATTAGATTTCAAGACGAAATAGAGAGGAGGAAGAGATGTTTGGAACAAGCTCTCAAGCTTTTCCAAGAGAAGAAACCCTTAGGTTTTTAGCAACTTATCTCAAGTTAATCAACAAACCCTTCATGACAAAAACACCTCAAATTTATAGAAGAAAAAGAGGTGTCAAACAACCAACTTCCACCTCCAACCGAACCAATCAGGTAAGGGGAAGAGGAAGACCAGTAGGCAACACAAAACAACTCCCAAAGACAGCACAGGAACCGGGTAGAGGAAGCCACGGGAAAGCAGCCAGGGAAGAAACCGAAAAGCCAACACAAAAATCGGGTAGGGGCAGCCACGGGAAGGCAGCCAGGGAGGAAACCGAAAAGGCAACACAGGGGACCGAAACCAGCACCCAGCAACCAATCACGGGAACAACACATGGGAAACACTGATGGGACACAAGAAGGGAAAAGGCAAGCTCCAACTCCATATGAGCTAAAAGAAGAATAACTTTCCAAATTTATGAGCTAAGTTGTGCAATCACTCCTCCAAATAATGAGCTAAATATAAGCTCAAGCATTACTGAGCTAGCACCAAGAAGATCCCAAGTTTTCAGCTCAAAACCAATGCAGCCAAAGCCCAACCCGGAGCAGCCAAGGCCCAAACCGGGAGGCTGCAAGCAACCCAAAGAACAAAAGGACCCAAAAAGCTAACAAACCCAAGTCTTGCCATGCCCAAGCACATGCTACCATGATCATTGGATGTTTTCCATCATTGGATAGCAAAAAAAAAAAACATAAAACACAACTAATATTCAAATTACATCAAAACAAAAAAATAAACCAAAATATGAATGCATCATATAATGCACATTACAATTAATTTAAATTTTGAATTCACTTAATTAAAAAAGGAGCACATGATGGTTCTACGATCTTAATTTACTTATCATATGATCTGATTTTTATCATATGAAATGATTAGTACTGTGTACTTTATAGTAATAAGTACGATTTGATTTTTCAGAATTATTAGAAATGTCATACACATCGTACAATACAACAAATCATTGTACAACATGACTTTTCATAGTTCAAGTTGTCTTGAATCTTGGTTATCCATTTTAAAGTAGTTTTTTTAAAGCATTCTAATTTTAATTTCGTTCTTTTGTGTGTTGCTTGGTTGTTTCTAATTAATCATATGCCTGACACACTGATGTAGGCAAAAAACATTTCAATTGGGTATTTATTGTTGGGATGAAATTAGCTTAATGGGCTTTGCCCAATTCCCTTTTCCTGTTTGGTGTTTGGGATGGCTGGCTGTTGGGCGCCTGGCGCTTGGTTCCTGAGCATGCCGTTGCTTTTTTTTCCTTGGTTTCTGTTGGGTTTCTTGGCTGTTCCGATTCTGGCTGGCTGTTGGGCTGTTTAACTATTCGGTTCTTGGGCTAGCCGTGCCCTTTTTCCTTGGTTTTTCCCTCTGTTTTGGTTGGCTGATTTGGGCGGCTGCTTGAGGCGATTTTTGGTTTCCTTTTCCTATTTAAGGGGCTGTTTTGTTGTTGTTTAGAGAGAGTCTTGGTGATGATTTTTGGAATGAAACCTTTGGGTTTTTTTTAGCTTGCGAGCTAGGTCTCCTTTCCCCTTCTCCTCTTATATTTCATCTTGGACTTCTACCTACTTTTTCTCTCCATGGTATCCACTCCACATGTATCATTTTTCTCAAGCTTTATAAGTTGTAGTGTGTCTTTGTTTTTAGTAATATTGTTGTTTTGTTTAGTATTTAAGTATAAGGAAGAAAAGTCTACTTTTAATTCACTATCGCAATGTCTTTGTTTATCAATTTAAAGAAAGGAAGTCTCTATTTTTTTTTTTTAATTTTACAAATATTTCATTTGCATCACATACAAGAAGGCATAACTCAATAATATAAAAAATACATGTCTTTGATTCTTCGACAATCTTCATTTGACTTGATGACTGCGAATTCTTCATATATATTTCCTATTTAAGCTTAGGTCGAGTGCACCTTCTTCAGTTTTTTAAATTTTCATCATATTTGTATGTCCTATCTAGTATTAGTCCTCAATCTCATCTATTGTATATCTGAGATATTTGTATAAATAGAAAGCCCCTGCACATAGAGAAGCAATAGCCCAAAATTAGCATAATTAATAATGTTTGTAATCATCAAAACCTCAATCATCTTATAAGTTTATGGGGCTTGAAAAAATGCTCTAAATGGATCCTTGCCAGTAGGGTTATAAATAAATTGAGTTGAGCTCTACCTTGTGAAAGCTCAATTATTTACTTTTTATGTTGAATTCAAGCCAAGTTTTAACTTTATCAGTCTTAAAATCATGTTCAAGCTTGTATTTTAGTAGTTTTCCTATCAAGTTGTAGTTGTAATCGAGCTAAAATCCCCTATAGCTAATTACATTTTTGATGT